CCCAATCTTTGATGAGTGTGAAGTGGGGTTTACTGTCAATATTTACAGATTCAGTGTGCCATTGTCACCAACATAAGGTAGAGCACTGTAAGGGTTAATTATATACAGCCAAAAAGGGGGCTGATTCCCTGTAGTGGTAATGTAATTGTCACCCTCTAGGGGCCATAGAGGGTGTCTAGCCCCTACACGGTAATTAGGGATCCCTTTGAGGCGGCGGAGGAGGAGGAGGAGGAGGAGGTATATTGCCCCTACTGAACAGCCTGAGATCTACTGTACCTATAGGGCTATTAATGGTACTTGGGTAGTGAACAGCCTGAGATCTACTGTACCTATAGGGCTTATTAATGGTACTTGGGTAGTGATAGCTGCTTTATTAGTGAAGACTGTTACAGAATCAATTGATTTAGCTTCACCTCTGCGATAACACACTGGTTTAAACTTTTGCAGATAAATTTTCCTTTAAAACTGGTTTCCCCCTACATAGCTATCAAGGAATTCTACAGCTACCTCAGATTCTATCATAGGGTTCGATGAAGACGACCTGCAAATCTAAAAAAAAAAATTGGGGTGAAATCTTGTTGTGTGCGAGCTGTTATGGGCTTTATAGTGCTAGATCAACTCTGATTTGGTTTTGTATTGGTTAGTTTTAAGCGTAAGGCTACACACTTGCATATGAATTTACAGGTTTGTGTAGAAACAGGGGGCATGCATTACACAGCATACAAATGTTGTCTGGAGATTGCTGTAATTAACAGGCATCAGTAACACTTATAGGGATCGTTTACAACCAAGGATTTAATTTAGAGATTTGGAAATTGTGAGTATGTTTACTTTGCTTTAAATTTAAAAAATTGGGAAGTAGACATTTTTTTTAATTATCTATTTTATTTTGGTTGATTTTTTTTGAGGGGGGGGGGGGGAACCAAATTTTAGGAAAATGTCATTTTTTATTGTGTTGTTGATACAGATGTAGACTTTTGAAGAAAGAAAAAAAAAGAGTGTGTAAAAATTGCTTCCATTCTTAAACTTATCTCAATGAAAGGACGGGAGAGACGATATTCAACATGGGACTGTTTATCAGGCAGATGTTGATTGTGTGTTGTTTGCGTTTTTTCTCTCAAGGCACAAAGGGATTTCCAAGCCCTTGCCTCAGTGTTATCATAACCATCTACCCCTGTAACAGTCAGGTTAGGTTTTAAATGAAGTATGTGTCAAAACTGCCGCAGAATTTTAAAAAATTATAGAGCGTTTTGATGCAGATGCTCATGTGAATTTACACACATGACGGGTTGTCGGGGTTTAGTTGGGGATCAAAACACCCATGTCACTAGCCCAGGGCGACGCCTTTAATACAGAAAACCCAGCAATTTTTTAATAAAATAGAATTGCGGTACAGCTGATTCTTTTTAAAACAAAACCATGTGTTTGGTGTGTGAAAGGCAGATACATTGTAGTAAGCACTGGTAGGTACTGGGATGTGTTTAGACGGCTAATTAATGGGGTATGACTAGGTCCTCCACAGTGATGGATTATACTTAACCATTGAGGAAGACAACTCTGAGTTTACTAGAAAATTAACCCACAGCTTTTATCTTGTTTTCGGACTATCAGTTATTTAATCAATTAATTGATAAATTAACAACTAATTATTGTTCATCAGTAAATTTAGGAAAAAGATATGATAACTAAGATGGTTTTCCGCGAAAAAATAAATATAAGGCAAAATTATTTTAGGATAAATAAGTTTCAATATTGATGTATTTAGGAGTTATTATGAAAACTGTCTCAAGCGTTACAAAATTAACACAAAATGATAATCCTGTATTACCAATTATGTAAAGGGGATTTCCAGTCATTCTTATCGGGAAGTGACCATGATATATATCTATTGATATCCCAAAGTCAATGACCCTTGATATAGATTTATACAGATATCCTAGTGTTAGTCAATACCGTGTGATTGACTATATACAGATATCCTAGTGTTAGTCAATACCATGTGATATAATTTATATAGATATCCTAGTGTCAGTCAATACCCTGTGATATAATTTATATAGATATCCTAGTGTTAGTCAATACCCTGTGATATAATTTTTATAGATATCCCAGTGTTAGTCAATACCATGTGATTGACTATATACAGATATCCTAGTGTCAGTCAATACCCTGTGATATAACTCTATACAGATATCCTAGTGTCAGTCAATACCATGTGATATAACTCTATACAGATATCCCAGTGCCAGACAATACCCTGTGATATAACTCTATACAGATATCCCAGTGCCAGACAATGAGCTATTGTACAGGGATTATCACTGTGGTGTATACAGATGAGTGTGAAGACAGTACGGGATCATCCCATCAGGCCAGTTTTAAGACCATCAGGCAGAAGTTGTGTGGGGATGGTTGGTCCATTGTCTGTTGATTGTGGTTGTATTGGGCTGTGATAAATCACTGTCCCTATCCCAACACGGCCCCACTGCCAATCAACAGGCTTCGTCTCTCGTCTCCATCAGCCGATCTGTCACTCCTCGATACCTCCCTCCCTGGCTCCTGTGTCGGACCAGGGGTACCAGAGCCTCCGATAATAGTCATATGGGACCTATAATGCTCCGATGAATGAAAGCCAATTTTTTTTTTCGAACTTGTTTGTGTTGTGTGTGCACTTCCTTGTAAGAGTAACAACAAACCGTAGGGCCACAGCTACCTTGCCTCTGCTGGGACCGGTCCAGAGGCTGATAGCTCAGACTGACAGTCACTGTCTCTGACTAAACTGGATTTCTTCTTACTGTGACAGACTTTCTCTAAGTTTTTACACAGTCAGCCTGACTTGTATGCGGGGATTAGAGCCTGACTCCATCATGGATTAACACAGCGACAGGAGATGGTGAATTCCTGAACACCCCTCAGGGCTCAACACTCTTATCTCTACAAACCCTGTGTGAAGTTTTGAAATCATCATGTGGCATTGATTTTATATTGAAGGAGCGTACCAATTTATTTGATCATTTTTTTCCTAGGAACTGTGTGTAAGGAACTTAAGGAAGTTATAGGATTATTATCATAATCAGATTGACTGAAGAAATCAAAGACAATTCAATTTTTTTTCAAATGTTCGCTGACAACGGAACTAAACTGTGACATGTGATTTTGTGACAATGACAAGACTTGCTCAAGGACCTCGAAGATTTCAGTAATTATTCACTGATCAGGACCTTTCTGTCTGTAGTATGATAGTATTGAATATCGTAACTACAGATTTCAATAAGTGGAGCGCATCATTATAATTAGTGGTGTTGAACGTGTTCTGGTCACCTGTTGAGTATGACGGACAAAAAATTGCTGACCAACGTCCAACCGCCTATACTTAATCTGTCCAAAACTGACCAATATCATCGTGTCCTGCATTTTATCGCCAGCACAGCTAACTCTGGTATTCCACGCTTGTGTTTTCAGGCTATACGCTGTACCCTACCTAACTGCCCCTGTGAGTGTTTTTCACCTGGAAAGGTACACATACGGGCATGTGATACCTGCAAGCATGGTTGGGTCGCTCATGGTAAGTGCCATCTTTTTATTTTATTTTAATTTCTGTTTCTGTTTTCAGCTCATATATACTCTATTCTTGTTTTTTATTTTATTTTCTTTAGTCTTGTGTACTTACACTTTTATTTAAACTTCTTTTTCGCGTCAACAAATAAATCTATTCTCATTTTTACTTTCTGTTTATTCATAAATATATCTTGTATTCAATTTCTTATACTTTTTCTTACTTAAGAACCTAATTTTCTTTATGAATTTTGTTAAACAAAATCTATTTTCATTTGAGGTTCCTTTATTCACTACAATATCTTAACCAAACCGTCCCCCTAATATGTATTTTAATATGCTTCAAATTTTTGAATAAAATTGTTGTTTTTTTGTATTTTTCTATTCTGCATTAACCAGATTTATAAATCCATAATGAAAAATTCCAACTTTTGAATTGGAAGGGTTCAAATGTGTCTTCAGTGGTGGATGAGTTAAGCTAACAAATCTTTCAAAAATTATTTCCATTTTTATAACATAATTATATTTGCTACAACAACTAGATTTTATCTGTGTCAGTATATTCTGACATGAATATTTGTATATGATTGGAGATTAGTGATAAATGGTGAACTTTCTAGCAGAACACTTTAACACTACTCTATTGTAGGAGCCTTAATTTGTAGAGAACCGAGTCAAATATCTAAATCCTTCATTACAGAATATTGTAGTGGTCTAGGGACGAAAAATGTATTATCTTCTGTGTATAAACATTTAATGCCTCCCTCAGGGATCAGCTCCTGTCAGTTAAACAAAGTTCTTCTATACCCCAGCACAACCCCCTCCATCACTGACATAACCCCCCTCCCATCACCCACCATAACCCCCTCCCACATCCAATAATACAGCAGTTCTCCTGGACAGAAATTGCCCCCAGGGGACTTCAACTTTGTCCCTGTTTAAGGAAGAGATTATGAGTCCACTGAGACACTCCCACACTTTGGGGACAATATCCAGCCTGTCCCCTGACCACAGGATGTTCCTCGGTGGGGCTGTGATCCCATGTTTGACACCCTGATCCTGCTGAAATAAACTACTGCCTTTTTGTGCTGGTAGAGTCTGCTGTGTCTTGTAATCTGATCGCCAATTGCTTTAGGAGAACATTTCCTGCTGATGATATACAGTGATATTACTGATGAGCCAATTCATAAATTTCATTAGGGTGCTCTTCACCACGGTTACAATCCAGTACATACCAGAAACCAGCTGTTCTCCTCTCCGTAACAGTTTATAGGGAGTATTTCTGTTCAGAAACATTTCAAACAAATGTTTATTTTCACAAAAATATTTACTTGCAATGGATTCAAGACTGTCCTTGTAAGGTGATTTTTTCATGGTGTGTAATAATAAATACAGGCCAGTGATAGAGTGATTTTAATGTATTTTTAGATCCAGGCTAACAGAGCTTCTATAGTGAGGCGCTGATGCTTATTTGATAACATTATCTCTAATATTCCCTTGTGTGGTGTGTGAATAAATTATAAGGTTGAGCATTGGTAGAGTTAAGATGTCTCACCTTGATGTGTCTATCAGCTCTGTATTCTGATAATTAAATCCTTAAATCTGTACCCATGCCGGTTGACAGGGACCAGGATCCCCATAGTCCATACACTACCAATTCTGATCAAAGGATGATACAATCAAAAGTCTATTTTTTTTATGTAAGACACAGGTTATATCTTAATTGAGTAACATATTTTTTATGTAAGACACAGGTTATATTATAATTGAGTAACATATTTTTTATGTAAGACACAGGTTATATCTTAATTGAGTAACATATTTTTTAATGGATGATTATTGTAAGGACCATTTCAGGCATTAATACTTGAGTCGTAATAATATCAGCAGTTGTTACCTTTTTAATACATAAAAATCAATAGTTGCCTGAATTTTTTAGACAAATCATTATTCAAATTTTCAATTTTAGCCTTAAAATCTTTTTCAAATAATAAAAAGAAAAGTGATAATTTCAAAAATTACTGACTGATAAGTTTTTTTAAATGATCATTTCTGTGAATTATAATGATTTAATAAAACAACATTTTTGAGATAAACCACAGATTATTGATATTCTGTATATACTGTATAAAATATTAATGATACCCTTTCAAAGACGCTAAAGATAGGAAATTGTTTAGGTCACATTTACTTACTGTCACATCAACAATACACAATCTTACCCAGAAGGCTACAAAAGAAGTAGAAATGTGTACTCCCAAAACAGTCCTATATCCTTGTATATAGTTAACATGTATACACAAATATTTGTTTTTAGAAAAATGTCCATGGTATAAAATAAAAAATATATATATCAAAATCATCTTTTACAAATTAACTTACGGTCATCGACAGGGTTCTTCAGGCTGGTACATATGTTTGATTTCAAGGCAGTGACTTCAGCTGTTGAAGTATTTCTGATAAGGGCTAAAGATGAAAACTGAAAGCTATAAGAAGAATTTTATTTTTATTTTTTTGAAAAGCAAAAATAATGTAAAATCAAAATAAGTTAAATTTTGTGAAAAAGGTTTATTTTTTTATTTTTTTGTAATAGATTTTAGCATGCAAAACTATGTTCCCATGGTAAGTGTTAAGGGTAGATTATTCACAGCGTAAACTAAGAATGTCCCTGTGCCCTTCAATCTCCTACTCGACAGGAGATAACAATACAGATGCCGACTCCATCCCTATTTGCCCAATCAGAGTGTCGAACAAATTAAAACTTGGGAAATAAAATATTGCAGAAATTGTAAATTAGCACAATAAAAGTCAATAGCAGTTTATAGAGATGTAAATTTGAAGAGAGGTTGAATTCCAAACTGGTGGGGAGTTGGCAAGTTGGGTGGTGCCTTGAGTCTAGTGAGTGCCAAATCTCCATGGCACCACAGTCAGTAATGGGGTAGCCCGACCAGCACCTGTATCCCCATGCACACGTATCTAATTGACTAATGGGCACACTGCAATCTTCACATTTGTGTCAATTAACTGTCAGGCCCTGTGCTTCCACTCCGGCACCAAATCCGACTGGAAAATTATTTTTCTTAAAGGACTGGTATCTGGGATTACCTGTTTTGAATCTTAAATCGTGTGAAGGCGTTTCATGATTCGATGACGTGAATACATGTGCACCAAGCATTCCTTAACAGATAATACTCCACTTATGACGTTTCTTTTCAATACTTCCTCTCCGTTTCCTTGTGATTAGCGGCAATATAAATTGGCTATTTGTCTTCAAGGAAATTCTGTAACTGATTCCTTCCGTGGTTCTCCGCTGAAAGTTTCATTGTTATATCCGTTAAGAGAGGGAATCTGCCTATTGATGATGCACCCGAACCTTTACACGAAGTTACAATCAATTACCAGAGGCCTTTCATTGGGGAATGGTCCTAACATGTTCTACCCCTGTAAAACATTATCCTCAACAAATTAATCAGGCTTCTGTTTATATAAGATTCTCGGAAGATATATCATGAAGAAACAATTTAGAAACTAATATTTTCACAGAAGTTTTCTCAGGATTATAAAAATTCCTAGTGGACTGATAAAGCATTATCATTAAGAAGGTAATAATTTAAAACACATGTAGAAATGGGCGGGTATACCATTGTATTGTATAACACATAGAGGCTGTAATGGGCAGGTTTCACATTTACCGTTTCCTGGTCCTGGTTTTTGTGCAAGTTGACAGAATTTGATACTTTTATCACATGATCATCAGATAAAAAAACAACATGCAAATGTGTCAAAAATTAGAATGACAAAATTTCTGTACACAACAGTAATGGAGTCTGCATGTATAATGAACAGTGGGTAGATTGTTTTTTATCTTATTTTTTAATTTTATTTTGCGTCTTTGATTTTATAAAGGACTGTGTAATCTGATACACTGGTAGCTTATTTACTTCACTTGTATGACATTTAAAAATCGTGGGAGTTGTATATATGAAGTAATATATGACTACTAGTCTAGCCAGTGGCCATTTATGATTGGCCAAAATAGTCAAGGGTCAAGATTTGACTGGAGGGAAAGGTCACACGAGTGGGGATAAGGACTGACAGAGTCACCCTTCCTCATGTATTTCTCTCCTATCACAACTTGGCTGTCAAATTCCACAACTTATTTTCTATCATCTTGAGTCCCTCGGTGTGGAGCTAAAAATCTCCACAGAGGTCGTCATTTGTCATGAGGGAGTCACGCGGCAGATTCCGGGATGAGAAATCCTACATTCTTATATGGATCACTGTGACAAGAAATTACGAAATCTTCCATTCCAATCAATACACAAACCAATCATAGGATCGCAGCCAGATCAGATCATGTTATGACGGTCGTCCCGTTGAATTATGAAAAACGTGTGACACCATTATCATTGGTCATTTGTCTGTGACGGAATCGCGCAGAAAAAACGGGGTCCAATCATCATAACGGTGATCTTTATGAGAAATTGTCACTCGGTCATTTTTCATATGTCATAAGTTGATACAATTTACAGGAATGAGACTTCTTGGTGTGTTTGTGTTTGTCAGATGTGGGTTCAATATCAATGTTTGTCTAGAATTCTTTTGACTGTTTCTAATCCTTTTCACATCACAAGGATGAAATTGTCTCTGTAGCCTCGACAATTAAAGTATATCGGTATACTTATTTCTTTCAATAAGAAGTCTTTCTGTTTTAGATATTGATCTGAGCTTGAGAATTATAAATTTTTCTAGACATTTTGCAAAGAATTTGGAAAATAATATCATCTCTAACTTTAAAGATATTTACATGCTGTAGTATTACACGACAGCATAAAAATAAAGCTCTTGAATTTTAAACCTTTATGACTTAGTTACAGATATAAAATTATTGTTCATTGTACAACCTCGGTCGATATTGCTTTTCTGGGTTGGTGCAGTAAAGTCATTGCATTGGCCAATATCAACATCCTAAAGTTGCTTTGTTATAAATGTCTTTTTTCCAAATGAGAT